TGTGTGTGTGTGTGTGTGTGTGTGTGTGTGTGTGTGTGTGTGTGTGTGTGTGTACATGTTTACCTGGTACAGATGATTTTTGACCATTTTCCTGGTAACAGCCTGATGAGGACTCACTGTTCCTTATGGGGACAAAGGCTCAGTCTCCATTGGGGGAAAACCATTGGTAAAGGTAAGTTTAGGACTAAGCTGTTTAGGTTAGGTTCAGGGTCAGGTATGTACCTGGGAGGTTAGGTTTAGAGTAAAGGGTCAGGGTTAGTCTACAGAAATGACCAGTAAATGAATGAAAGTCAATGCAATGTCCCCGTGAGGACAGAAGAACAAACGTGTGTGTGTGTGTGTGCACTTGTTTCTGCTAGAGAGTGAGGACCAATTGCAAAAGAGCTATGGAGGTCTTTGATGTAAAGTGAGGACCTTTTCCCTTTCCTCATGTTTTTGCAGCTCTACTAGTTAAGATATGATGTGGATTAAGTTTTGSTTCGGGTTAGGAAYAAACTAGTAATGGTTAGTGTTAGGGAAAATGTCTGGGTTAGGCATAAATACAGTTACAAAAATGAATGGAAGTCAATACAAAGCTCTCAGTCTGATACAAGTACAAGGATGTGTGTATGTGTGTGTATGTGTGTGCCTGTGTGTGCATGGGAAGGTATTCCCTACTTTGCAGGGACCACATCCGAGGGGAAATGCCATTGGTGGGTCAGGGGTCAGGTATGTACCTGGGAGGTTAGGTTTACGGTGAGGGGTCAGGGTTAGGCTGTAGAAATTAATGGAAGTCAAAGCTAARTCCCCATAAAGAGACTGTGCRTATGTGTGTTGTTGGCTTTTAGCACTGTGACTGCCTGCTGATTACTTCAAAATGTGTGCTCTAGCTGTGACCTCACAGTCACTGGTTGGATGAATGGTCTGTTTTGTTGTTGTTGTTGTTAATGCTTCTTCTAAGATGTTCTGACTGTTTAAATGTGTTTGCAAAGGGGGTGTAAAAGTTTAGAATGACTTGATAAAACAATTTACATATACTGTCTGAACCAACTTGGTCACAAATCAAATCACAGTTATTCTSCTTTCATAATATTTTCAAAGAAACTGCGGAGAAGGTGATGGAGGGGAAGCCCTCAGGATGTTACACGTTTCAGGACTGAATTAACACTTTTTTGTTGGGCCAACCACCAAAAAGAACAGCAGGCTAACATATTAAGGACAAGTGATAGAGGAATCCTCGGAAAGCACCAAAGAAACCCTCACTAATGAAATGCTTGGGTTACGGTCATCTCACCTGCGGAAACAGGTGTTGGCTTTCATAGGTCTCTTGCAGAAGACCTTGACAGGTAAGACTGGATAACAGTTAGAGTTTCTGAGCTAGTTCTTTTGGTTTTAGGTCATATGACAACCTCATGCATTAGATCCAAAGAACAGCTTCATATTAAATCTCAAAACAGTAGATGAAATAACTGGATTTAGCAACACCTGGACAATTGTCTGTTACACTGAAATGCTTCATTTACCTGAATACTTCAGAAACTATATGACCAATTTTTCTACTCATCTTTTCTATGAGTAATAGAGGAGTAGTTTAAAAAAAATAAAGTACTTCCTTCCACTTGAATATGCTTTGATCTAAACCCTTCCATTGTAGATCTGGCTGGATGTTTTAGGCAGTGGCTGATCTAGAGAATTTTCCATGGGGGGACGGGGTGGGGGGCTCTAGAGTGGCAATGCTGGATCACTTCACTTAAGTACTGTACATAAGAAATGTCCTATATCAAAATAGTCAACAAAACATCCATAAAAACACTTTGAAACATTATTTATTGTCCTTTTTCTCTTCTAAGAAACAAAGACAACTTTTAGTATGTGTGTGTATGTATGTATGTATATATATATATAT